GCTGTGCTATTGCTCCAGCCCCTGATCCAAACTATTTCATGCAGCTTGCGTCATTAGAGTGAAAGAGGTCATCAAAGCACTTTGGTGAAAGTGAAATGAAATTCTCGGCAGGAATATGCGGTAGATAGACATGAACTCTTGGTAACTTAGATGAGCCACAATAAATCTGTTAGTTAACTTTGGTGGTCTAGATAACAAGTCAAATATATATATATATCCCTTTACCTAGCAAGCATTCAATTCTGTCCAGAGCGATCATTTCCAACTATCATTTTCATAGTGGTCCCTTCTCATTTAATTCCCTCTCCCCGCATTTGTGACACGGTTCCAGCTGTGGGCCAGTACTCCTGGCCATTACCTCTACTGTCCTTGGGTAATAATCTCATACAATGTTTTTGCTTCTTTCTTTCTTTCTTTCTTTCTTTCTTTCTTTCTTTCTTTCTTTCTTTCTTTCTTTCCTTCCTTCCTTCCTTCTTTCTTTCTTTCGCCTGGGGAGCTACTTGTTAAAACAGGGCACTGTTTTAACAAGTGCCCTGTTTGCTCTCTAACTCCAGGTTCCCTGACTAATAGACCTGTACCCATTATGTGCTGTCAGATGAGCTCCTAGTATCATTGAGATGGGACGCCATTTTGAAGACGGGGAGAGGTTAACCAGTAATTTCCATTTTCCCTTGCTCAAAACAGCACTTTCTGGGGACCGAGAGGTAGTACAGATAGGAAGGCACTTGCCTTGCATGAGGCTGATACAGGACCTTTCTCCTCGCCAGGACCAGTGACTTTCCTCTCCTGACACAACTTCGATAAACATTTTTGAAAACTACAAAGTGATACTGACTGGTGCTCAATAGGTTTACATATCTATTCTTATATGCATTTTGAGTATCTATTTCCATTTTCTGTGGATTTACGCTCTCATTTCTGTTGGGTATTTGATGCGTACTCTTGATGATTAAGCCCCTAAGTCAATTTATTGATTCAAAAAACTATAGCAAGAGTTTTAAGATACTTATTTTATAATAAACCTGAACTGGAAGGAATGGAAATATCATTAAACAGGGAAAGGAGTAAATAAATGGTATTTTTTTTTTATCATTCTCCATTACAAGCAATGGGCTTTTGGGAAAAATAATCTATTCTTCAAGAAAGAAAAAAGAATTGTAAAAGATGACTCTAGAACCTCCCCATGAGGCCAAAAAGTAAAAAAAATATTAAAATTTAGGATGAAGGATTTCATGCATTGGTGGTAATGATATCTGGTTCAACTTCTATGGAAAACAGTATAGAGATTTCTCAAAACAGTAAGGAAAGAACTTTCATACAACCCAGCAATTCTACTTCTTGGCAACTATCCTCAGAGAATATGAACACTAATTCAGAAAGACATATGTATACCTATGTTCACCGCCATGCTTGGATAAGGAAACAACCTAAATGTCCAACAGCAAAATGATTGAATAAATAAGTTATGGGGACAGAGAGATAGTACAGCAGATAGGATGTTTGCCTTGCATGTGATAGACCTGGGTTCGGTCCTCTGCAGTGCAGATGGCACCCTGAGCCTCACTGGAGGTGGCCCAGAGCAAAGAGTAGTAGTAAGTCTTGAGAACAGTTAGGTGTGGCCCCCAAAACAAACAAGTAGAATCTGCAATATTTATTCACAATGGAATACTATGAAGGTGTATGAAAAGATAAAATCATCCCATTTTCTATAATGTAGAAGGAATCACAGATTGCCATGTTAAGCGAAATAAGTTAGGGTGAGAAGGGCTATTACAGGATGATCCCATGCATCTGTGAAATACAGTGAGATAAGAACAAGGGAAACTACTATCAAACAAGTAATAAATTCTTGACCTTGGATTTACAAATCTGATTACCAATATTGGGAGGAGGTATGTGGGAAAATGATAACCAGACTTAAGGTGATAGAGAGATAGTGGTGGAGGGTTGAAGATACTTGGTGGTGATGAGGTACTCTAAATGTGTGCATAAGCATTATAAACTTTAACATCACTATAACCATCTCACCCCAAAAATTATTAAAAATAAATAAACATTATTGCAAAAGAACTGAAGGAATTAAAAGCAAATAATGAGAGTTCATCAAAAAAGAGTTCAACCTAAAGGAGATTCCACTAGCCAAATACGAACAATTTGAAATATTTAAAATATTGAAATTTATAAATCACTGCAAAAAACAAATCATGCATCTATATTAGAAACAGATAAAACATCAATAAATTAATGAGTGGGTTCATACTGTTGAATGCTGAGCAGAGAGAACACATGTTAAGGGAATACTGGACTGGAAGATCAGCAATTTTTTAATTTTGTGGTTAAAGTGTGGTTCAAGGAAGAGTCACTGTGTGCTAAATTTAGGGGGCAGATCTAAAGGGGGAGCAGAGTATTTTATGGTGTTAAGTGTTTTCCCACATTGCTTATTAGCTGTAAGGGAAAATTTAGTAACTGTGCAGTGGAGAAATCAGACAACACGTTGACAAGCAATCAAATTTAACATCACTGATGAGGTGCAAGTAGACCTCACGTCCCTCCAGATGAAATATTCTATGTGAGGCCAGGGACGTGCCAGGGATGAAACCCTGGCTTTCTGCATGCAAAGCAAGCTCTGTAACAATTCAAGCTATTTTCCAGGTCCAGTAAATTCCTTGAAAAAATTAGCATCATAGAAAGCAAGACAGACTGAAAGTTCTAGGTGAAGGAATAAAAGAAATCATAGCAACAGTATATAATACCTGACCTTTAATGGGGACCTGCTCTATAGGGAAAGTAAATACTATAAAAGGTAAGTTGGGATATGGGGAAATGATGAAAGTCTTATGCTAAATTTATTGCTGTTAACTGATAATTATAACATGGGAGAAGATCCTTACCATGGAAAGTACACATGGAAGTATATGGAGGTAATGGCCAAGATAGATATAACTTGCTCTCAAATGATGCTCCCGATTGGTGTGTAAATGTGTGAGAGCAAGAGCAACTGACTGACAAGGTAAATGGGCTAAAATGTTAACAATCAGTGTCTCTAGGTGAAGGAAACATGAGTGCTTTTATTCCAGTTTCTCAGGTTTTCAGTAAATCTGAATTATTTTAAACAAAACGTTTCTTGGAAATGATGGTGTATTTATATTATATGAAAGCTCAATTTCAGGGGAAATTATTTTGGGGAAAATGGGTGCTTGTGGTCCTGTTGGCATCTAGAGGGAGAGGCCAGAGTGATGCTGCTGATCACTTTATAGTGCACAGGACAGCCACCATTACAAAAATATCCAGCACCACATGTCTATAATGCCATAGTGAAGAAACCACAACACATTGTAACACTTAAATATTAAGGATGAATAACCCTACCCAATG